TTTATATAAAATTTTATTTGAACAGAAAAAGAATAAAAATAAAAAAATTTAAAAGTAAATATTTCATATATAAATTTGAAAAATCCGATACTTTATATATAATTTTATTTCTACAAGAAAAGAATAAAAATATAAAATTTTAAAATGTAAATATTTCATATATAATTAAAAGAATAAAAATATAAAATTTTAAAAAGTAAATATTTTATATATAATTAAATTCCAATAATAAAAATACAAAATTTAAACAAGTGAATATTTCATATATAATTTTATTGCTGACTAGAACTGACTAGAAAAGAACAACAATACATATTTAAAAAAATAAATATTTTATATAATTATCAGTGTATGTTATGAGTATATATAAGAGATTAAACGTACTACCAAATAGCGACATCATTTTCATTGCATTTTTCTTCAGACACGGAAATTTCTCAGAGCTTATATGAAATTTATAGAAATTTTCGATGTTCACGGAGAAAAATACATTTTTCATTTCGGAATTATTTCGCAAATTATTTCCATTTGGCAGTTTGCTTGTACTTCGTCAACATCAATGTTGAAGGGGGTGGAAAACATTTTTATTGACATAGCTACCTTTTCAGTTCTCAACATTTTGAATCTCAATTGAGCTCGTTGATCAATATGTCCACATATTGAATATATTTTTGAGTATTATTCGCATTTTCCTTTCCTAAATAAGGAAAATGAGACACATTATTTTGCAACAGATGTTTTCTCCACAATTTCAATTTGCATTCAAAGCATTGTATTTTGTCATAAAAATTGTGTATAAATTGTCCTCCACATTGAGATCGTTCAGATGCTGCGTTATGTCGATAAAAAATGCAAAATCGCACATCCATTCTTTATCATGAAAATGAGGAAAGGCATATTCCTTCTTATCCACGAACAACTCTACTTCGGTTTTAAGGTCGTACACTCTTTTCAAGATTACAGCTCTACTCAGCCAGCGTACTTTAGTATTAAAAATTACATCGCCATATTTACTTTCCAAATTATTAAGAAATTCTTTGAACTCACGGTGATTCAACCCCCGTGACTTTATAAAATTTATCAATTTTATTACTGGGATCGTGACATGGGGTAAAGTTAATTTTTTTTGCACACAAACTTTCTTGGTGTATCATGCAGAGGTTAATGAAGATTTCTTCACCTGTGGTTTTCTTAATATCTTGGAAAAGCCTTCCCGCTACTCCTACATTCACTGGTGCCCCATCTGTTGATATACTAACAATTTTTTTTAGTGAAATTGAAAAATTCCAAGACAGACTTTAGTTTTTCATAGAGGTTGTAGTCCCTTGCATTAGTACCAGAGTACACAACTCTTCAGTAATATTAAAATTGGTACACGTATAAATATTGCAAGTTGTGCTGTATCGCTAATATCGCAACTTTCATCCAGTGCCAAAGAACAGTATTCAAATTGAGCAATGCGCTAACGAAGTGTTGCTAATATATTCTCTGATAAGTCATCAATTCTTTTTGCAACTGTGAACCTGGATAAACTAATATTTGAGATAATATTAAGTTTATCAGGAAAAGCTATTTCTGCTACAGCTGTCAGACAATCTTTTACCATATCTCCATCCGCAAAAGGTTTCATTTTTTTGCCAGTATTTGGCTGATTACAAAACTAGCTTTTACAGCTGTATGTGATGAGATATCTTGAATTTTAAAAATACAATGTTGTTTTTTTTAAGTTTTTTTTCTCTTGATTGACCTTATCTATCCGGAGCTGCCCTGTTAAATTTTGATATTTATTTTCATGTTTTGTTTTGTAGTGCATTTTTATGTTGTATTCTTTCAATGCTGACACGGTTTCCGAATCCGAAAAATAATCGAATTCCCATCTTTTTTGGAAATTAGTCATTAATTCAGTCATCAATTAGATTAATTAGTCATTAATTATTAATATATATATAATACTAATATTGATGTCATTAAAATAAATTCAATACGGCCTTAATAATAATATTGCAATCACGACTTTAAAAAAAGCCAAAAATTAGTTAGCTGCTTAAGTCTCATTGCTCTGATCCCGCTTGCATCAATGAACATGCCGCGTGTAAACGAGCACGCACAGACCAACGCGTTGTATCCATGGGGGTACACTCAGAATAAATGTGCTTTACGCTGTTTATGAACTGTAACAGTTACCGCGCAAAGAATTTAAAAAATATAATAGCAAGGCGGCCGCAGAAAAACTCTCGCCGCGGGTTGCTCATCTTTGCACTACACCCAGCGAGTGCCGCGAGTGAAATCACGTAATATTCTCTGCTAAAACTTCTCTTTCAATAAACAGGATGATCTTCAAGCAAACATATGATTTCATAAATTATAAATTTTATAAGTTCTATAGTTCATAAATTTGATTCCATAAATGTTCTTTGCTCTATGGTATTTGGTATTTCTTGAAGTTTAAATTTAATTTGTTAATTTGACACCATGTATTCAGTCTCGCGACATCTTGTTGTGGTATTGTAACGTCGCTCTCACTTAATATCTTTCTATAAATTTTTAGATCATCCGCGTAAAGCTGAAATTCAGACTTGAAGTCTATTCCGATGTCATTGATAAAAATGGTCTTAAATGCGATCGGGTACACCCGATATTGCATCATATTGCTTAGAAACATGCCAGTCAAGTAAGAAGTGAGCCACTTCAGAGTTTTTCCCATAACACCGTATTGGCGCAGTTTGTGAATTAATTTGTCATGGTCTACTATATCGAAGGCCTTGCTGAAATCGGTGTAAATTGCGTGCACATCTAATCCGGTGTTAAAAGCATTAATGGCGTACAGAACCAAATTTGTCGCTGTTGATCGCCCGCCTACGAAATCATGCTGTCTGGTAGAGATTATATTTTTAAAAGTCCAAGTCAATTTTTGGAGTACAGATTTTTCGAATAGTTTTGAAATTGAAGATTGAATGCAAATTGGTCTGTAGTTGTCGACTATTGATTTAGAACCGGACTTATGTATAGGGGTAATCAAAGCCATTTTCTAAGCAGCTGGAAAGATTCCTGTTTTTAATGGTTTCTGAAATATATGCGTGATTAGTTCACAAAGAATAGCAGAACAATTTTTGAGAAGATTTTAAGCATAATCTGCATTAGTTTATCGTAGTTCACGTTAAGATAAGATAGATTGGCATCGAGTGCAATCGTAACGTTTTTTTTTTTTTTGTTTTGACGAAGTTCCAGAAGTCATTGGTGTTAACTATCAGGACATTCTCCACATTTCTTATATAGTCAGTGTAACATATTTTGCTTAGTTTTTTACATTCGGATCGTAGTGTACTAAATTCAGTATAACTCTTGTCTCAATTAATTTTTTTGTATTTAGAGTGCGCTACTTTTTAGGCTTAATCTTTTTAATCAAATCTTTTGTAAACCATTTGGGGTATTCATTCTGTTTTGGAGTGATTGCTGGAACAAACAGTTTTAGACCACTTTGAATTATATCATATGATTTGCTCACTGTCGTCTAAATTGCTTCTATTCGTTTAGATATCTCAATCCAGTTTATTCTATAGAAATAATCGTTTAATCCAGAGTAGTCTGCTTTGTTGAATAGATAATTAGACTTTGAGTAATTGGTTTCCACAGCAGTTTGGTTATTTATGATAATGGTTAATGCTGCGTGATATTTGTCCTCTTCTGTTATTACTATTGCTCTATCTATTGAAGCATTCATGTTACTAAAACAGAGATCTAGAAACTTGCCAACATCGTTGAGTGTTTACTTCTAAATCCAAATTGGCGTGATGGAATCCAGTTATCTATTGGTGTGTCATTGTTAATTCGCATTAGTAAGATTCTTTCCAGTATTTTAGAAATTATTGGTAGTAGTCTAATAGGTCTACATATTATTGGTAGTAGTCTAATAGGATACACATGACAAATCTTTACCAGGCTTGGTTATCATTAGTATTTGAGCTGTTTTCAATTTTTTCGGTCAGTAGCCTTTTCTGATGATGGCATTAAAAATGTATATTATGAGGACTATCGTTTTCCTTGGATTTTTCTTCAGCATCTTACCTGTTATAACCTGCAGATTTTTTTGAGTTCAATGCCACTATTTGGGAATAAACTTCCTCGTGCTGACTTGGTTTTATTGGTTGTTTCTCAATAGGTTTTTGTAGTAAGTAGAACTCCAATTATCCGAATTAATGGGGACCGGGACCAATTCGGATAATCAAATATTCGGATAATCGGAGTTTTTTTTTTTAAATTGCCGTTGGCTGAAAAAAAGTTACGTTTTGATATTGCACTATTTTTTCATAGAATTAAATGGAAGAAACATGATATTTTCACATGTTTTAAATATAAATAAAATGTACTTATGTACAAGTTTAGAAATAAAAATCATTGTTTTTAAACATCTCCGTCAATGTAAGCTGTTTTGCGGTCTTCAACCGTTTTCGGCCAGCCAGGTCACGCATTCGCTTGACGGTGAGCAGTTGCAAGTGAGCATCGGGCTGATGCTCCATCCACGTCAAAGCAGTATCGAGGCCGGCAAATGCTTCACTAGCTGATGGTCCAGCGTCTACTTCAACATCAGCAGAAAGTTCTTCTTCCACTTCCACTTCAATATATTCTCTCATTTACAACAATTTCATCGTCATTGAGAATTTGAAAACCAGGGTCAAACGTGTCACAAACCATCCACTCTCCTACATCTTCAGCACTTACTTCTGTAAAACCAGGAATTCTTACAATCAGTTTTCTTATTTCCTTTAGTGACAACGCAATCTTCATCATCATCATCCTCTCCATTTTCTTGTTTCTCATTTTCTTTAGGTTCTTTTTTTTGTTCTTCTCAGACGGTAGGCCTTTCAGTTTATTCCACGCACGTCTTAGCGTCACTGCCGTAACCAAACTCCAAGCTTCCGCTACCATGTAACAGCAGCCTTTTAAATTTATTTTGCCTTCGATCAGCAGTTTTCTCATTAGTTGCTTTCTGTAATGGCGCTTCATTGTTTCAATAACAGACTGGTCCATGGGTTGCAACAAACTTGTAACATTGGGAGGAAAAACGTCGTTTTAAACTGCCCATTCTCTCTTTCCAACAGTTCTGCTGTAGGATGAGTGGGTGCGTTATCAACAATTAAAAGCACCTTACTGCCTTCTTTTCCCATCGATTTTTGGTGCTTTTTTACTTCAAGAATAAACAATTCATCATACCATTCGGTAAACAAAGCTGAAGTCATCCAGGCCTTGGGTTGACTTTTGTAGAAGAGTGGAAGTTTTTTTACGTTTTTAAATGCTCTTGGATTTCTTGATTTTCCTATCAAATGAAGTGGTAGTTTATGATTTCCAGTGGAGTTGGCACAGTTAAGCACTGTAACACGTTTTTTACTGACCTTATGTCCAGGGGCACTAGATTTCCTTTTAGAAGCCAAAGTGGTTTTTGGTAATGCTTTCGAAACAAGGCCAGTTTTATCGGCATTATAAACAAACTCCGGATCATAGGATTCTGATGCAGTTTTAAAATTTTCAATAAAATTTTCAGCAGCTGCAGAGTCTGCTGAAAGCTTCTCACCAGCCAAATCTAACTCGCGTACACCATGTCTGAATTTAAAGTTTCTTAGCCAGCCGTTACTAGCCTTAAAAGATGAATAACCGAGATTTTCTGCTAAGATTTTGGCTTTTTCACAAAGGATTGGACCTGAAATAGGATTTCCCATAGAACGTTGCTGCAAAAACCATTTAAACGCGGCTTCTTCCAAATTTTTGTTGGTTGCTGTCTTCATTGTTTTCCTGGAGGAACTTCCATCTTCATTTTCAAGCACCGAAACAAAGTTTAAAAGTGTTGACTTACTGTTTTAATGTCATAAATTGTTGCTTGTCCAACACCATAAATCTCAGACAACTTCTTATCCCTTACACCTTTATCGAGTTGCTCTATAATTTTCAGTTTGTCCGCTAACGATAGCACAACACGTTTTCTTTTCGAAGCCATGGTAAAAAACAATACAGTATTGTACACGCACAAACAAAAGTAAGCCGTAGCGAAAGAGTAGCGTCCTCGAGCGAGGTCAATAGCACACTGGCTAATCAAAACAAACAATGTGCCTACACTGGCTTTGCGGGTGGAAGAATAATAGCGCACTTAGACTTTTTTTGAACAATTTTTTTTCTGAAAGTGATTCGGATAATCGGCGATTCGGATAGTCGGAGTTCGGATAATTTGAGTTCTACTGTATATTATCAATTTCAGAATCATCTGAGTTGTCCGAAGGCTGAAATACAGATTCAAGATGTTCAGCAAATAGTTGAGCTTTTTCTTCGTCACTTTTTGTCCATGGAGTGTTTGGAGTTCTTCTTATTGGTGGCGCTGGGAATTTAGGTTTTTTTATGCTACGTTCAAAATTGAATTATCTGTTCTAGATAGGTTGGAGATATACTGTGTAAATTCTTCTTGTTTGATTTGCTTCATTTTTTGTTTAAGTTCTCTATATAATTTATTATATTTATTTTTGTCGTGCGGCCTATGGTTCCTCTGCCATTTAGATCTGGCACGCCTTTTTTCTTGTATAAGAATTTTGATTTCCAGTTTCACTGTCTGGGGTTGCATCCTGAATAGATGATTGCATATTCCCAACCATTCATCAATAGCCTTTTCAATGTCTTCGTTTTCTTGGAGCCTACATTTTAGATTTGTACAGCTATTTAAGTTATTTCTGTATCTTTCCCAGTCAATGAATATATTGTGTAGTTTTAAAACTTGTGGTTTTGGAACCGTTGTAATTCCCACTGTTAAAATAACTGATCGTGAGTGATCTGATGACAGGTCGAAGCTGGGTTTTATGTCGGGAAATTTTTCGTTTCTATTATTAACGACAAAAAAATCTAATAAGTCTAGATTTCTAAATGGATCCGAGGGCCAGTGGGTAGGGGATACTGTTTACTGAAATGAGTAATTGTGTTTAGTAATAGTGTTAAGAAGTTCTTTTCTTCTTGCTGTTATTAGTCGAGAATCCCACATGGTATATTTGCAATTGTAGTCGCCTCCTGCTATGAATCTAGTACCCTTTTTTTTTAAGTAATCTTCGAAGTCAGAACGTTTTATATTACGACGAGGTGGACAGTAAGCCGCTGCTAGTGTTATATCGTATAGTTAAAATTTAACTTTCATTATTGTGGCTTGCAAGTGATTTTCCTTATGCGATGGGCAAGAATAATGATCTAATTTGCTTTTGACTAATATCGCTGAGCCTCCGTGAGCATTACCGTCTGGATGATTGCATTGATACGTTGCATAGTTTGGTATAGTAAAATACGATAAGTCAGTAAAGTGTGTTTCACTAATTAGTAAAATGTCAATAGGGTGTAATTTAAAAAATGTTATGATTTCTAGTTTATGCCGTATTAGACCATTGGCATTCCACAGAGCTATTCTTAGAAACTGAGCTATTAATGATTCGATTTGTTTATTAAAGTAGTAAGCATGTTGAGAACCATACCGTTTTGATGGATTGGTTGATTGAACATTTTTTTGAATTCATTCAAAAACTCTGAAAGATGATTTGTACCTGTTACGTTTTCATTGCTTTGGTTATTGTAGTTATTATTATATAATGTCTGCGCGTAAGTACGACGATATTGACCTTGTTGTGTATTTGGCATAGTAGTTCCAACTGGAGTACCTGGATTGGCAATGTTTATATTTTGATGTCGAGCTGCAAACGGATTAGTAGAGGAGCTGAGAGAAACTTGATATTTTTGTCTGAATAGTTTTTTGATACACGGGACACCCACGGTAATTCGCGGTGTGGTTAGTGATAATCAGTGATAACAGTGATTTGGAATGTCGGTGGGTTTAACACAATCTAATGTATTATGGGAACATCCACATCTGGAACATACATGCGATCTACAGCAATATTTTGTATGTCCAAATAATTGACATCTTTTGCAGTGCACTATTGATTGTTATTATTTGGTGGTTCAATGCGAATTATGTGGTTGTTCAGTTTTGTAATATGTCTTTATTATTTTTGTTAGGTTCCAGATCCAGGTAAAAAAGATTAAATGGTTGTTTGGTTGTACGATTTATAATATTTGTTACATTCTTAACGTTGTGACCTAATGATTTAAATGCATTTTTAATTCTAGTTGTGTCGGTTGTATGATGTGGTTATCTGATAACTACCATGTAGGCCCTTTTCTCTCTTAGTTAATAAGTGTGATGCCTCATTTTGGTTACACGCAGATATCTAGCTAGTGTTCTAAACACGTCGGAATTTATGCAAAATATTTTGACCACGGTGTCCTTTAATGTACGCACGTGATAATTACTCGATGATATAACAGTGTTTATTTCTAGTAGCATGTCGTTCAGATCATCTACGTCATAGATAAATATCGGCGGTGGTTTCTGTTCGGGGCTATAAGTATTATTTTCTCGAGTATTGTTGTTGTTGTTAGGTAGTGTACTATTGTCATTTAATGGTGCAAATCTGTTTTATGTGATGATTGGCGCAGCGGATAACTTACTTTTTTTGCTATTGTTTTGTAGTACTGTCTTAGTTCTTGGAACTGACTGCTAGGAATGCTGTGGGATAAATTCAGTTGCATCTCCCATACTTTCTGAGTGGGAAGTGTTTACTATGGTTTCGGAGTCGGATGTTTCTGCCACATTTGTTGATTGTGATTTCACTAACAATTGAGATTTAATGAAGTCAGAATCAGTCATCGATGTATCGGGCATTTTGGGGTTCTGCAATTCAACTAATTCTGCATTCTTTCACGAAATCACATAGTAACCTATAACATGTTATGTTTTGTATTACAGTATATAAATTAAAAGGTTTCACACACTGATTTCATTTATGCAATTTGTCAAAAATTATCTGCCTTTGCTTTACATATCTACTGCACTCCATTACGATATGCTCACAAGTTTCGGCTGCACCACCGCATGCACATAGGTCTGAATTTACAAGTTTAAACCGAAACATATGAAAAAGCTGCAAAGAGCTTGTGATTTATTCTGAATCTTGTAACTGTTACTAACACCCTTCTGTCTTCTTCTTTAAATCACTCCTGCTATAATTTTTTATCAACTACCGGTTTAATTCTTTTATAACACTAGCCACGTGACTGATATGAAACATTCCAATCATTTTGCCTTTCTATGTTAACATTTTGCAGATAGGAAAAGATCCGAACAAAGTCAATTCATATAGACCAATAAGTCTGCTTCCAATAACATCTAAAATATTCGAAAGACTTCTGCTAGCAAATATCGCAAGGACTACTAACCTAATTCCTGATCACCAATTTGGCTTTCGCAGCGGACACACAACTACGCAACAGTGTCATCGAATAGTGGACACCATTAATAAAGCTTTTGAAGGCAGTAAATACTATTCTGCTGCTTTCTTAGACGTAAGCCAAGCATTTGATAAAGTTTGGCATGAAGGCCTTCTATACAAAATTGGAAATCTATTGCCGGCATACAAGATTTTCTTTCAATCTTACCTTACTCGGAGAAAATTTCAAGTCAAGGTTGGCGATATTTTAACAGAGCCGAAAGTAATGAAAGCAGGAGTTCCCCAGGGCAGTGTTTTGGGACCATTCCTTTACCTTATTTATACCAATGACTTCCCCACATTGAGAAACACCACCTGCTGCACGTTCGCGGACGATATTGCTGTTTTGGCAGTTGCACAAGATCCAACCGATGCATCTTTTAAACTGCAATATCACCTTGATAAAATAAATGATTGGTCCAAAAACTGGAAAATAAAAATTAATCAAACAAAATCACAACATATAACATTCACGCGCAGGAAACAAAGCTGCCCAAGAGTAACGCTTGACGGTGACGAAATTCCCGAAAACAACGTGATTAAGTACATAAGCCTGCACTTAGATTCCAAGCTCACCTGGGGATTCCATATAAACAATAAAATACAGCAATTAAAACTAAAAATGCAACAGCTAAATTGGCTTTTAGGCAGAAAGTCAAAACTTTCACTTTTATAACAAAGTCTTAATCTACAATGCAGTGCTGAAACCGGTGTGGACCTACGGCATAGAGCTGTGGGGATGCGCTAGCAAATCACATATAGCCAAGATGCAGAGAATGCAAAATAAAATTATCAAAACCCTAGTCGACGCTCCATGGTTTGTAAGTAATCATATTCTTCATCAAGACCTAAAAATACCATATATTAAAGACGTCACCAAGGATAAACTCTGCACGCATCTTAACAAAATCGCAACACATAGCAATAAATTACTGAAGCCACTTGTGGAAGAAAACACAAACCGAAGACTGAAAAGAAAATGGCCTGCCGATCTGACCATGTAATCTCTGCCTGATTCTCTTCACTTAGGATTAACTCAATGGAGGCAATCCTAACGTACTTCTTTTTTCCTAATTTGCTTATAATTATATTTTTGTATTCATTTATAATTTTTATTTTTGTATCTTTATTATTTGTTTATTTTAATTACTTTATTTAATTTTTATTTTGTGTATACATCACACATCAGCTTATAGAATCTGTATTCTGATTGCTAATTATAAATAAATAAAAAAAAGAAAAGTTAACCCTTTGCAACATTTTATTTAAAAAATCTTTATACATGGCAACTTTTACCTCTGGCCCATGCTCTGCAGCCCTCTTTGCTAATTTATCAGCTGCTTTATTCCCTACAATCCCAGAGTGTGCTTTGTGATAATAATTGCACATTATAGTCCCCTCCCACTATAATAGCAATATTATTCCAAATTTCATAATACTCTGAATCAAGTAATTTTCTTGTACGAAATAAGTTTTGCAATTTTGCAATGCAGCTTTTATTGTCTGTAAATATAATCGATTTCTGAAAATTTTATCTTTTTATTATGTCCAGTGCCTTTTTAATTGCTATCAATTCAGTCGTAAATACGGACACAAAATCTGTAGCCTAAAGCTGCTGATACACTGTAGAGTTTTTGGCTAGAGTCGCTCTAGCTAGAGCACTAATAGAGCGCTCTATGTAGAGTCCCATAGTGTACACAGCTACTAGAGCAATCTAGCAAGAGTCACTCTACGCTCTCCGTAGATAATCTCGCTAGCTAGACAAATGATATTCAGTGTACATAGGGTCTCTGCACAACTTCTACGCTCTAGCTATTACCTCTAGCATTATTCAACTTGTTGGATATTTTTTGTACTATGCGTAGAGTTTTTTTGTTTTGTTTTGCACTGGTTTGTTTATTTGTGTTCCCAAGAAGAGTTGAATTCATATTGTGATTTAAAATTTTTATTGTAGGGTGCATTTTAAGACTTCATATGACAAAGTAAGATAAAAATTAATAAATAAAAAAATCAAACATATTGGTATTGCACGGTAGTTTATCTACTCTGGACATGAAGTACGTTTTAAAAATTTCGCGTACCTGCTTAGCTGTGCAAGTCGGATTTCTCGCGCCTGTTTGTTGCAATGGATAAAATGAATTTTGTGGAAGTGGGTCATCTCGCCAACAACCTTGAATAAGCCTGCCAATCTCTTCCATATCAAAAGTACCTTCAGGGACATATCTGGTCGACTTTTTTTCAATTAAATAATTATGTAACACGCAAGCAGCTTGAACAAGCTTTAATACTTTTTGAGCACATAGTTCGACTGGCTTTCTAAGAAAACGAAATCGCATAGAAAGCAAATCAAAAGCATTTTCTACTACGCGACGTGCTCGAGAAAGTCTATAACTAAAAACACGATTTTCAATAGGTTGGTCTCTAAAAGGGAATGGTTTCATTATGTAAGTTTTTAATGCAAAAGCGTCATCGGCCACGTAATGGCTTTGCTTTGGGTATACTCAAAGAGCTGTTTTCCAAACATGCCGATAGTGAACAATTCGCATATACGCCCCCGCCTGACACTCTCCCATTACAACCTACATCTATTTACAAAAATTTATAATCAGCATTAACTAAAGCCATTAATACAATACTATGTGTCCCCTTGTAATTATAATATAGACTTCCTGAATCTTCTGGTGCCTTCATTACCACATGTTTTCTATCAATAGCTCCTATGCAATTTGGGTTGTTCCAGGTAACATTAAATCGCTGTGCTTCATTTTCCCACTCCTCTGATGTACAAGGAGTCGGTAAAAAAAAGGAACAAACCATTTAATTTTTATTTATTATTTTAATTTTTTATGACCATGATGAGAAAATAAAAGATAATTCAGATTACGCACAGACGCCGCAGGAAGTAGACAATCATCCTTCAGGTTCAGGAGGGCCTGGGCAGACTTCTGTTACAAAACCTCATAAAAAAACAAACGATTTTAACCCGATTCAGTTAAAAAGGATGATGAGTTGCTGAATGAAACTTTAACTTGTTTACGAGCTCCGAAAGTTCAATTGGATGTATTTGGAGAGTTTGTTACTGCAGAGTTAAGAGAAATACGCTCTGAAGATATCCGAAAAAAAATAAAATGCAAGATTCAGAGAGCTATTTTAGACGCAAATGAGGAAGACGACTTGCGAGAAGTATCCTCCTCCAGTACACACTCGATGCTCTCTCCAAGTAATTTGAGTGAGTACTCCGGTTCATCGAGCACTCTAGTAGTATACCAGATGATTCCTCCAACGTAAAACGAGACTACTATAACGCAATATTATGACAACATTGAACATTTTGTCATACATTCAAATAATCATTTTTCAATTCCAAGTACAAGACATCACATACCTCCGGAACAATACGAGAAATAGTTGTTGGCGGAATCCGAAACAAATAGCTTAATGACTGATAACTGTCACCTATAATATAATTTATTTACAATGAATATTGGTACAATTTTTATAAATATAAAATATAAGAAAATATAAATTATAAAAAAAATGTTTTTGAATTATTTTAAATAATTGTTTTATACCACTTACCAGTAGCAAGAAATCTCAAAGTCAGTATTAACCTGAACCTTTTTTAGCAATCAGAAAAGTACATAATTTCTATAAGCTAAACTGATAACTTAAGTAACGTGATTTAGATAATTGAAATTATCTTGTTATCTGATCAGGCGTTGTTCTCGTCAGCTTTCTTTCCCACTTTGTATATGATGTAGGGTCACCATTGATTTTGATAGGCTTAATTTTAACTTGATTTGAAGTCTTCTGGCCATTTTGTTTCAGTCTTCTGGTCGGTGTGTTTCGTACGATGTGTTGAATGCATGGATTAATATTTTGAGCAATCTTTGAATGGTATCTATTGCTGAACTTCTTTATTGTTTCGCATACCGTGTCGATTTTTAGGTCATTATGGATTTTTTGATTGTTTACATACCATTAGGCATTTACAATTGATCTTAATATTTTAATTTGTGTTCTTTGTACCATTTTAATGTTCGATGCGCTTGCACATCCCCACAGCTGTATTCCATAAGTTCAAATCGGTATTATAAGAGCCTTATAAATTAACAGTTTGTTCTCAAGCGACATTTTCGACCTTCTACCTATCATCCAATGTAATTATTTGAATCTGGCTTTTATCTCTTTGCACTTGTCCTTAATTTGTAGTTTCCATATTAATCGGTGATCTAATTTCATTCCTAGGTATTTTATATTGCTGCATGTAGGGATTTTGATGCCGTTCATAAATACATCTGAACAATTTTGACTTTTTGTGGGAAATGTCATGTGTTTCGATTTAGTTTCGTTGATATCAATTTTCCATTTTTTGAGCCCGAGCTCCAATTCGAAAAGTCGTCTCTTGTAGATTTAGCGATGCTATTATAGGGTCCTCGTGGGTTGCTATGATTATGGTGTCGCCTGCAAATGTTTCGAGAATTGTATTCGGATTAGTTGGAATGTCATGTGTGAAGATGGTAAATAGCAGGGGTCCCATTACGCTCCCCTGTGACACTCCTGCGTTTATATCGTAGAATTATAATAATATCGCCGATACTGCGCTGCTTACTTCCACTCTAAAGAATCTGTTTATTAAATATGATTTTATTAACATGTAATATATTCCCGGCAGGCAATTTTTTATTTTAACAAAAGACCATTTTGCTACACTTTATCAAAGGCCTGTTTAATGTCAACTAAGATTGTGAAGCAGTATCTATTGTCTTCGAAAGCTTGGCGAATTGCCGTTGTCATCCTATGGCATTGTTGTATTGTCGAATGCTCTCTCCTAAATCCGAATTGATGGTATGGTATGATAGTAAGCTTATTTGTTATTCTGCCTACTAATAGTTTTTCTAGCATTTTTGATAGTATGTGTTGTAGACTAATTGGTCTGCAGGAGTTATCTAAGTGACATGGCTTATCTGGTTTTGGTAACATAATAATTTCAGATTGTTTGAAGATTTTCGGCCAGTCACCAATTCTTAATGTCGCATTGAATATCAGCACAATAGCTTTTTTAGACAACTTCTTAAATTTTTGGGGGATATTATTGGTTGAAATGCAGTACTAAGGTATTTTGCGAATAAATCTGCCTTTTCTTGATCGCCCCTGGCTCAAGGTCCGTCTGTATTGGATGATTGTCTTATAGGTGAGTTAAAAATGTTGTAGGTTTTCTGACGTTTTTAATTGGCGTCCATATTGAATGAAAATGAAATTTTTTATATATTTTTACGTTTCAAAGGTTCTGAATATTTTGGCATTTCGTCGACGATTTTGGAAACACGGATAAAGCGATTTGAATAATTCAAAAAACATTCGATTCGTATTGATAAGGAGACGTGCTGATTAGTTAACATAGAAGGCAGGTTTAGCCGTTTGAAGATAGGGGGCAAAATGTGCCAAAAACGGTAACTCAGTTTTTAACCCGCATCCGTCCCTTAAAACTTCAAACGTTAAAGTTCCTATGTATCAATTTGATACAGGCTAGAAAAACGGCATAAATCATACAAAAATATAAACAAATCGATTTGTTTTTGTTGTTGATCAAAGGTTGTTTATTTGTGAGTATTTCTAAAATAACAAAAATGTAAAAATTACGTGCATTTGTCACAAATTTTGAAGAAATGCTGAGCACAAATGTACTTTTTACACATGTCACAGCGACTTCTGTACAAATTCGAGTTATTTTTCGATGTACAGATATGACAACGGGATCTTTTGTTTGCCGGTGGTAATTTTTCTAATACACCACTTGCTCTTGAACTGGAAGGATCGCTTGGGAACACCTCTAATCATCTGTACAACGGCATTTGCGTGCTCAGATCGTGGTGTTCGCTTTCGTACCTCGATATACGGCATAACCAAATCTTCGGCAACATCAATGATAAAGAGGCGACGACGATATTTTTTCTCTCTTTCTTTCCATTCGGGATTGAGTTCAGTAAATATGACGAAGGCGTTGAATACCGAAACATCCAACATATTCTCAAAAATAGCCATTGGCCAGCGATTTACCTTGCGCTTGCACCTATATGTGCCAACCCTTTCATCCAAAACATCCACACCACTTTTGGTTTTATTATAGTAGTGAATGATATCCGGTTTTTTTTCTTGGGTGTCGTACAATAATTTTTTTGTATGCAGTGTACTCAAAGAGTAACACACCGGTTTTTTTTCGGTATATATGAGACCATAGTAAGGCGCAAATTATGATCGAACACAAACTCTGAATGGTATTGTGGCTTTCGCTTCATGTCCAATAGAATCGGTGGTATTTCTTTGCGGTTCTTCCTTCCAACGATCGTCATCTTGCGTTGTTTCAGCTCTTTGGCCAACTCGTACGAGGTGAAAAAATTGTCACATGTGACATTACGGCCAGACAATTCATCTGTAAGTTCCAAAACAACACGTTTGCCTTGCTTTGTTTCTGGCGCGCAATTTCGATCACGTCCGGTGTAGATTTGCATGTTGTATGCATAAAATGTACGCGAGTCACATAACGCCCATGCTTTTATGCCATATTTGTACGGTTTAGATGGGATGTATTGTGTGAACGGTGATTTGCCACGAAACGGAATCAATGGTTCGTCGACAGTAACGCAATCGCCAACCACATACATTGTTCGCAAATTTTTATTCCATTTGTCGAAAACATTACGAATCGCAGCGAGCTTATCTCTTGCAAGTCGATCAAGTCGATCCTCTTGTGTCATCGAAACGTATGCATGATTCAAATACTTGAAGTATTTCAACGACATTGTTGCTCTAAATATCGGCCGTCCACGTTGTCATCCCACAATTCAGTCATGCATCACCTTTCGAAACGGTAAAACACCCGCCAATAATAGCAAA